ACCACCTCCCGTCCGGTCGTTGTATATAAACGACCGGACGGTGGCAGTGCAGGGTCGGGTGGCCGTTTATAAATGGCCTCCCCGCACCCTGCTTGTGCGCGCTCCCTGGGAGCACGCAGCACCGCGATACGGTGCCGGCTGTGTCCTATGCAGTGAAATTTCGGTGGGCGAAATATTTCGGCCGAAAACACCCCTTTCGACCGCTGGCCAATATGAAAAAAAACCACTGATACAGGTGCCCAAAAAACCTGCTCCTCGCTGCAACCGGTAGTTCTCAGCCTTACCTGAGAAACCATCGAGTGATCTCGGCGCTGGGCATAGAGATGAATGAAGGAAAGATCCCTCCACTCATCTCTATGCCCTTGGAGGACCGGAGCGATGTCACTTCTAGTTCCATTTTTTTTTTTAACCCTCCCTGGCGGTATTCCTGAGTGTAGCTCAGGGTTTAGTTTCAGTACCAGAAGCGGTAACCCCGAGCTACACTCGGGAATACCCAGCAGCATTGGTCCGGGATCCCTCCAGCACTTACCTTGTCCTGCGCTCCCGCAATGTTCCCCCTGCAGCGTCCCCGGCCATCTCCTCTGGCCGATGCCGGCATCTGTATTCAGAACCGGCAGGAGTTTCAAAATGACAAAAAGTGACATTCACTAAATCCACTAAAATCACATAGTAAAACATTCCTGTATCAACCCATTTCACATACATTTTGTTCCGAGTGCTTTGTCCGGCGCCCTGCCTGCATTGTTACTGTTCTTTCTGCCTGGAAACTGAGAAATGTCCATGGCGTCCAAAAAGCGTCCATTTAGGTCAAAAGCGGTTTTAGACCGGCTAGAGAACAGCGATAGTAAATCAGAACCACTTGCAGAATTGAGTGATAATGATTTCGTGGGGGAAATTCATCATCAGACACTGAAAACGATTCTATGATTTTGCTCAGCGATGTGCGAACTTGGCGCTCTATTTCACATTTCAATGTTTTTGGTTTGAATATATTATTGAATTAAATGTATTATTATCATATTAATATTTATGATTATTATATTATAATTTATGATTTCATGTTTCAAATTTTATCATACCCGGGATGTTTACTAGACTCTTGTTCGGACAGATTTCGGTGAGTTATTCTTAAAAATTACAGCCTACAATAAAAAAAAAACATATTTCCATGCAAAAAAATGTACCGCTTTGAGCACAGAAATATGGGCATAATCAGACCGCTAGGGAGGTTAAAGCACTAGGTCAATGCTTTTTTATTTGATCCAATGCTTTACATTGCAGAGGAGAGATGTGGGGTCTTATTGACCCCATATCTCTCCATAAAGAGGACCTGTCACTAATTATTCCTATCACAAGGGATGCATGCATTCCTTGTGATAGGAATAAAAGTGATTAAACATTTTTTTAAATAGACAGTGCAAAAAAAAAAAACCAAAACATTAAAAATACATTTGTTTGAAAAAGAGTTTAAAGTGCCCCCGTCCCCCCATGCTCACACGTAGTGGTGAACGCATGCCCACATATGTAAATTATGTTCAGGGGCGGACTGACCATTCGAGCTCTCAGGCTCTGCCCGAGGGCCCGAGGTCAGTAGGGGGCCCCATGAAATGTCCCTGGTACCTTTTATGGGCTTTTTTTGAGTGTGGGCAAGGACACGGGGCCCCATGATCCCCTATTGCCCGGGGGCCCCATCAGTTGTCAGTCCGCCCCTGATTATGTTCAAACCGCACATGTGAGGTATCGCCACGAACGTCGGAGCAAGAGCAATAATTCTCACACTAGACCTCCTCTGTAACTTTACATTGCTGACCTGTAGAAATTTTTAAAGCATCACCCATGCAGATTTTTAAGTACCGAAGTTTCACGCCATTCTACGAGCATGCGCAATTGTAAAGCGTGACATGTTGGGTATCTATTTACTCGCTGTTAACATCCTATTTCATTTTTTACAAAAATATTGGGGTATATATTGTTTTTTTAATCGAAGTGTATTTTTTTCCAAAAAAATATATATTCATTTTTTAAAACTGCGCAGTTCGGTTTTCGGCCAAGTACATTTTGAATTTTCGTTTTCGGCAACAGAATTTTCATTTCGGTGCACCACTAATTAATGGTGCACCGAAAGTGCTAAATACAGAAAGAACCCAAAAAAACCACAACACATGAAAGTTTTAGGGTTCGTTCACACTAGGAGGTGCGCTTGTAAGCACTGTTCTGTATGTTCCCACACGTTGCTTTTTAGGACGGCCCATCAATAGCAATATGTGCTAGAAACACAAAAAAAAAAAGAGCGGTTTTTAATATCACACTGCACCAAAAGTTATGATACTGCTTAGGGGGACACCAATGCCAATACCGAGTATTTTCACGAGTACTCCCGATACCCAAAACTGGTACTTTGTGGTGCGATTTGCATCCATATAAAATGAATGGTGCAAATCACACTGTAAAGAATAGTATTGGTGCACCGAAATGAAAAAGTCTGGTGCCGAAACCAAAAATTCAGGATGCATTTGACTGAAATGGACAGTTTTTTAAAAATGTATATATTTTTCAAGCACAATTTTTTTTATGCTTTTTTTTTTTTTATGATTATTTCAGATTTTTGGTGCTGAAAGTTAGGGGGGTACCATTATTTTGCATGGAAATATGTAGTTTTTTTATTGTAGGCTGTAATATTTAGGAATAACTCACTGAAATCTGTCCGAACAAGAGTCTAGTAAACATCTCGGGGATGATAAAATTTGAAAAACAAAATCATAAATTGTAATTTAATAAATAATCATAAAAAAAAATAATAATATAATAATAATACATTTAATTCAATAATATAATCAAACCAAAAACACTGAAATTTGAAATATAGCGCCAAGTTCGCACATCGCTGAGCAAAGTCGGAAAATCGTTTTCAGTGTCTGATGAGGAATTTCCCCCACGAATCATTATCACTCAATTCTGCAAGTGGTTCTGATTTACTATCGCTGTTCTCTAGCTGATCTAAACCCGCTTTTGACCTAAAGGGACACTTTTTGGACGCCATTTCTCTGTTTCCAGGCAGAAAGAACAGACAAAAATGGAGGCAGAGCGCCGGACAAAGCACTCGGGACAAAATGTATGTGAAATGGTTTGAAACAGCAATGTTATACTATGTAAAATTTGTTTGGAAAAAAAAATGACATTTTTTTAAATTTTCAAATTTCCCACCGCCGGTGGCGCCCGTACGTCCCGACGTCACAGGGACCGGAACACAGAAGCCGGATGCCGGCATCGCCGGAGGAGATGGCCGGGGACGCTGCAGGGGACACATCGCGGGAGCGAAGGACAAGGTAAGTGCTGCAGGGACCCCCTATACAGCGCTGCATGGTAAGCCCAAGTGTAGCTCGGGGGGGGGGGGGGGGGGTTACCGCTTTTGGTACAGAAACTTTACCCCGAGCTACACTCGGGAATATCGCTAGGGAGGTTAATGAATAAAAAAACAAAAAAACAAAAAAACAAAAATACATATATACCCCAATTTTTTTGTAAAATATGAAAGATGATCTTATTGCGTTCGCTCTCTGACGTTCGTGGCCACATGTGGTGTTCAAACATATGTGGGTGTGGCCTACGAATGTGTTCACTACTGCGCGCGAGCACGGGGGGAAACGGGGACACTTAAATAAGAAAAAAAAATATTTTTTTTTACACTGTCCCTTTAAAAAATGTTTTCGTTATCCCTTTCATTCCTATCACAAGGAATGCAAACATCCCTTGTGATAGAAAAAACAGTGACAGGTCCTCTTTATGGAGAGATCTGGGGTCAAGAAGACCCCATATCTCTCCTCTACAATGTAAAGCATTTAAAAAAAAAAAAAACCAGCACTGATTTATTGCTCAAAAAAAAAAAAAAAAGGCCTTGTTTACATTGTGCCGGAACTGGAAGCAATGTAACGATGTCGCTCCGGTCCTCAAAGGGCATAGAGATGATTGGAGGCCAACTTTCCTTCTCTGATCTCTATACCCAGCCACCGGGATCATTAGAATGGGTTCTCAGGTAAGGCTGGCCATACACTATACAATTTTCTGTCCAATTTCTGCCCAATTTTCTTTAGATTTACCTTCATCTCTGTAGTACAAGAGCCCGCCTAATTGGATACAACTGAAAGTGTTGTTAGGTTTGACCTCATATTATATGGTTTTTGGTAAATCCAAACCACAAATCTCAAGAAAATTGTATAATATATGGCCAGCCTAAGTCTGAGAACCACCAGAAGGCGGCGGGCGGAGCTATTTTCGGCACCTGTATCGGCGCTTATTTTCACATCGGCCAAAGACCCATAGGGGTATTTTCGGCTAAAACGTTTCGGACACCGAAATTTGGGTGCATCCCTACAGAATAGCATGTGACTTGAGCAGGAAAGCGATGCGATTCCTCTCCACATCGCATGCGGTTTTCCCGGCGCTCCTGTGTGAACCCGGGCTTGTCACAGCCTACGTTCACACAGAAGTAGTGCGGGGAACCTTGCACCGATCCCATACTATCTCACCACAAAAAGATTTGAATCCCCGCAGCTTTGTCTCCTCTCCTCGTAGCGGGCTAGATGGCTTCTGATTGGTCAGCACCGTCACAATGCTACTAAAACGCTCCTAACAGCTTTTTTCTAGCTGTGTTATTTCCTACATGTGCTGTAAAAACGCTAATAAAACGCAAGTGCTCCTAATCACTTCTAAAAAATGCTATTACCAGTATTTTTTATCCAGCGATTTTTGAGCTTTAACTAGTTGCCGACCGCAGATAGCCGAATGACGGCTTCACTGCGGTCGGCCAGTTCTGGGTGGACGTCATATGACGTCCCCCCAGAACGCGCTCTCCTGCACGCCCCAGGGGGCGCGCACCCGGCGATCTCCGTGATTGCTGTGTCCTACGGACACAGCTGATCACGTGATGTGGTAAAAGGCCGTTCCCAGCGGCCTTTTACCACGTGATCAGCGGTGTCCAATGACACGCTGATCACAGGGAAATGCAAGTGCCGGTTCTCGGCTGCACTTTCCTCACGCTGTCAGATCATGAGGAAAGTACTGCCGAGAACCAGCAGTTGTCAGAGCGGGGATCGGCACCGATCATCAGGGACACTGATGATCAGTGCCCTGATGATCGGTGCCCAGCAATGCCACCCGCAAGTTCCGCCCACCTGTGCCCAGCAGTGCGCCCACTAGCTCCGCCCACCTGTGCCCAGCAGATCACCCACCTGTGCCACTCTGCAGTGTCACACACCTGTGCCCAGAAGTGCCACCTACCTGTGCCCACCACCCCACCCACCTGTGCCCCACCTGTGCCCACCAGTGCTGCCCACCAGTGCCACCCACCAGTGTAGCCCAGCAGTGCTGCCAGTCAGTGCCACCAGTCAGTGCCCAGGGGTTGTGCCAGTCAGTGCCACCAGTCAGTGCCCAGCAGTGATGCCAGTCAGTGCCATCTATCAGTACCCATCATCAGTGTCACCTATCAGTGCCGCCTATCAGTGCTGCATATTAGTGCCGCCTATCCGTGACACCTCATTAGTGCTGTCTATCAGTGCCGCCTATCCGTGCCACCTCATTAGTACTGCCTATCAGTGCCCTTTAGTGCCGCCTATCAGTGCCCATCAGTGCTGCCTCATCAACGCACATCAGTGAAGGAGAAAAAATACCTGTTTGAAAAATTTTATAATAGAAACAAAGAAAAAATTTTTTTTTTTCAAATTTTTTGCACTTTTTTATTTATAGCGCAAAAAGTAAAGCGCCCAGTGGCAATTAAATACCACCAAAAGACAGCTCTATTTGTGAGAAAAAAATGATCAAAATTTCATATGGGTACAATGTTGCATGACCGCGCAATTGTCAATCAAAGTGCAGCAGCGCTGAAAGCTGAAAATTGGCCTGGTAAGGAAGGGGGTATAAGTGCCTGGTAGGCAAGTGGCTTAAAAAAAAAAAAAAAATGCTAGTGTGCATGGAGCCTTAGGCTTTTTTTTTTTCTTCTAGTTCATCTGGTGATCCAGCCAGCAAACTGTAGTGAAGAACAAAAAGACAGAGTGCACCAGCCTTGCGCATTACCTCAGTAAACAGTTCATGGATTTATTGATTTAGGAGATATACTCACAAACATAGTAGTAAAACAAGAATGTAAAAGAAGCACACGAGAAGGAGACACGTGCGTATCCCATCAGAAGGGGAGATTCCCAGAGGGACACTGACGCATTTCGAAGGGGGATCCCTTCTTCATCAGACTTCATGATTCTCTCTGCTTCTGCTCTCTCTATTCCTCTCAAAATGTCTGAAATAGTAAATTTTTTACTATTTTTCAGTGCATTCTGGGAATTTGGGAAGGTCTCCTGAGGTTATCTTTAAAAAACGCTTCTAAACACAAACGCATATAAACGTAGTATGTAAACGCGGCTAAACTGACGTTTCTTACCCACTTCCAGTCCGGACACTTTCACCCCCCTTCCTGCCCAGGCCAATTTTCAGCTTTCAGCGCTATCACACTTTGAATGACAATTGCGCGGTCATGCAACACTGTACCCATATGAATTTTTTACCATTTTTTTGAGACAGATAAAGCTTTATTTAATGTTATTTTTTGCTATCTAAATGAAAAAGTCAAAAAATTTTGAAAAAAAAAAAGTGTTTTTCTTATAAAATTTTGCAAATAAATAATCTTTCTTCATAAATCTTGACCAAAATGTATTCAGTTCTTTTTAGTAAAAAAAAAAAAATAACCCAAATTAGTTTATAACCAAAAATTATAATTTAAAACATTTTTTTTTACATTTTTATTTTATTTTTTTATTTTACTATTTATGTTTTGTTTTTTTTTACATACTTATGCACCGCTGGGATTTTTATTTTATTTTGGTATATGAATGAAAAATTCCAAAAATTTTGAAAAAAAAAAGTGTTTTTCGTATGAAGTTTTGCAAATAAATAATATTTCATCATAAATCTTGGCCAAAATGTATTCAGTTATCTTTTTAGTGAAAATAAATAACAAAAATTAGTTTATAACCCAAAAATTATAATTGTTAAAAAAATTTTTTTTACATTTTTATTTTATATTATTTATTTTTTTTTTTTTTTTTTACATACTGTCACCCTAGTAGTACCGTGTCACCATGGTGACACTGCACTACTTGTGGGGGGGTGATGAAGATTTTTTTTTACACTGATTGCTTTTACACCCATAAAGTTGTAAAAGCAATCATTTCTCCTTTCTCTCTGGCTGCATTTTTGCAGCCATTGAGAACTACTGTGTGAGCTGTGATTGGTCACAGCTTGTCACATGGTACAAGGCTGTTGTGAATAGCCTTGTACCATGTGACCTCTGTGATCATTCACAGATTTCACATATAGTAAGCAATGATGTCAGAAGTGACATCATTGCTTACTACTCTTCATGTGATCACTGATTGGCCAATCAGTGATCACATGATCAGAACCTTGCACAGAGGTCCCATACAACGATCGGTGTTCCACTGTGTCCGGAGACACAGCAGGCACCGGATCGCAGTGCTGCGCGCTCCCAGGGAGAGCGCAGAAGCAGGGGGCGGGGATGCCGTTTATAAACGGCCACCGACCCTGCACTGCTCCCGTCCGCCTGTTTATATACATGGGCCGGAAGAGAAGTGGTTAACCTACGTTTTCCAGCAGTCAGTTTCCATCGGTCAGAAGTGTCCCGTGTACACGGAGCCTTAACCAAAACACACACCCGGCCAAATAACCAAAAGGCGGCCGGCAAAATGTACTGCATTTCCAGGTTGGATGCCAAATGGCGTCCTCCAGCACATGCGCACTTTTCACACTTGCAGAGCCGCGCAGCGGCACGATCTGTCACCGGCCGTGTACCTTGGACACGGCCGATGACAGATCTAAGTATTGGTCCCCGTTGCCGGTACCATGTGACCTGCTGTGACCAATCACAGCAGGTCACATGACAGTTGTATACAATGGATGGCTTCATTCATGCCATCCATTGTATACTAGTGCCTAGCTGTGAATGGTCACAGCGATCACATGCACATGTCATGTGATTAGCTGTGGCCAAATCACAGCTAAGTACAAAAAAAAAAAAAAAAAAAAAAAAACCCTGAATGAATCGATGTCATTCAGGTAAATGCTTGCTTATAGCAAAGTAATTCTTTGCTATAAGCAAATTGTGTAAAAAAAAAAATACTGATCACTTCCCCCAAAGTAGTACAATGTTACTATGGTAACATTGTACTACTTTGGTCATAGTTAAATATGAAAAAAAAATGTTAAAGAAAAGAAAAAAAAAAATGTAATAATAAAATAAAAATAATAAAAAAAATTAAAAAATATATATATATTTTTTTTTTCATACTGTCACCAGTCAGTGTCCCTGATCACCACCATGCCAGTTATATGATGACGCTGTACTGCACTGGTGACAGTATGTAAAAAAAAAAAAAAATAGTGAAAATAATTTTTTTCATTTTTTGATTTTCCTGAAAAATTATGACAAAAAAAATACAACTTCAAAAAACTCGCCATTCCTCTTATGACGTACGTCGGACTGTCTACTCTGCAAAAAGGGGTCATTAGGGGGATATCTGTACTGTCCTGACATTTGGGGGATATCTGTACTGTCCTGACATTTGGGGGATATCTGTACTGTTCTGACATTTGGGGGATATCTGTACTGTCCTGACATTTGGGGGATATCTGTACCGTCCTGACATTTGGGGGATATCTGTACCGTCCTGACATTTGGGGGATATCTGTACCGTCCTGACATTTGGGGGATATCTGTACTGTCCTGACATTTGGGGGATATCTGTACTGTCCTGACATTTGGGGGATATCTGTACTGTTCTGACATTTGGGGGATATCTGTACTGTTCTGACATTTGGGGGATATCTGTACTGTCCTGACATTTGGGGGATATCTGTACTGTTCTGACATTTGGGGGATATCTGTACTGTTCTGACATTTGGGGGATATCTGCTGTACCGTCCTGACATTTGGGGGATATCTGTACCGTCCTGACATTTGGGGGATATCTGTACTGTCCTGACATTTGGGGGATATCTGTACCGTTCTGACATTTGGGGGATATCTGTCCTGTTCTGACATTTGGGGGATATCTGTCCTGTTCTGACATTTGGGGGATATCTGTCCTGTTCTGACATTTGGGGGATATCTGTCCTGTTCTGACATTTGGGGGATATCTGTACTGTTCTGACATTTGGGGGATATCTGTACCGTTCTGACATTTGGGGGATATCTGTACTGTTCTGACATTTGGGGGATATCTGTCCTGTTCTGACATTTGGGGGATATCTGTACTATTCTGACATTCTTGGACCTCAAGAAATTAGATTGGCTGTCAGTACTTCAGGATTGATCAATATTCAGATCTATACCATAGTTTGTGAACTCTATAACTTTCCTACAAACTAAATAATACATCCTAATTTGGGTTATTTTCACCAAAGACATGTAGCAGAATACATCTCGGCCTAAATTTATGAAGAACAATTATTAATTTGCAAACTTTATAACAGAAACAAAGAAAAAACGTGTTTGTTTTCAAAATATTTGGTCTTTTTTTGATAATCCCTTAGCAAAAAATAAAAACCCCAGCGGTGATTAAATACCACCAATAGAAAGCTCTAGTTGTGTGAAGAAAATGATAAAATTTTAGTTTGGGTACAATGTTGTATGACCGCGCAATTGTCATTCAAAGTGTGAGAGCGCTGAAACCTGAAAAATGGCCTGGGCAGGAAGGGGGTGAAAGTGCCCGGTATTGAAATGGTTAAAGATCACAACAGAGGCTTTAAAGCTGGTGCGCAACATGCAACCCTGATAAAGGCAAGCAAAGGGCCACATCCGGCCCCTGGGCCGCAGTTTGGAGACCTCTGCTGTATACGACGTTCTCTCTCCTGTTTCTTGCGATCTACAAACCAGAAGTAAATGCTGCACACAAACATAAGTAATATCTACAAGATAAGATTCCAAAGCCCAGATGATTGTCATGTGAGGAGGACCCGAGTGCAGGTTTAAAAATAAAAATCTAAATTTTTTTCCTTTTCCCCTTTAAGGCAGAAAAACTGCAAACATGTGCAAAATCGCCTCTAAACACAACACAGGCGTGCTCATCCCCAGGCCGAGCTCCAGCTGGCCGAACATCTCCTTTGTTGTAGAAAACGCTCATAGACTTTCAGCGCGTTCACATCTGACTCATTACTAGAACATCTGCCTGCGTACAGCAACATTACCGCTCTCATCCCTTACATTATGTCACAATCATTATGAGTGGTGCGCCCAAATGAATATTCTTGGACCGAAAACGAAAATTCAGGATACATTTGGCAAAAAAAAAAAAACAAAAAAACAAAACAAACTGAAATGGACAGTTTTTTTTAAAAATACAGTCATGGCCGAAATTGTTGGCACCCTTGATATTTCTCCAGGAAAA